TTGCCGTAGCATGGCTGAGATTGCATTTATAAAGAGGCAAGCCCGTAATTCTTCCTTCACTAAGAATGGCCTGATAATGCGAGCCTGACTGGTTGTCCTTCGTTGTCAAGGCCAAGGCTCGTTTGCAATTGCTGGTGTCAATTCTGAAGTTGAAAGAGACCCGTCACACACTGTGCCACTGTCAAAAGCCGATATGTCTGTTTCAAGACGACGACATCCCCGCCTCTGGCAATGGGCGAGGAACAATTGGAAACCAAGTTGATAAGAGAAAAGTCACCGGTCCATTCTTTGCGAAGACTTGCTATTTGCACGGCCCGTCGAGATCCAAATGATATGACAACAGAATGTGGTGATCTCATTTATTCGTCAATTTTCGTACCCGGATCGTTTCTTAACAGTGACTTCTGCTATATCGCAACCCCAGATAGCGCTACGGGCTGTACGTTGGCCGGCACGCTGCCGAAGAGTTTGCACTCCTTCGCTATGAGATCTGGAAAGTGATTATCGGTCCCTCGAACTTTTCGGACGTCAGCGCAGTGAGATATGATGCAAATGAGCGCCGGGTCTGGATCCTGGGGGCTGGCCACCCAACTGAGGTGAATGCAGCGTGTTCAGTTTTCATTGCATCAGTGTTAGTTTATACCGAGTATTACTATGTTTGTCCCTGAACTGCCCATTGGGGGATACTGGTTTCAACATGTCCATAATTTGGAGCCGACATTTTGCTCACAGTAGTCCCGCCTCACAGAAACCAGCGGAAGAGTTTCCTGTTATTCTCTGCTATTCTCAAAGACCCTTTCCGTGACGTGAATTCCCTTCCCGTCCTATACACGTAGAGGGGATGTGGGATCCACGGGTTGGTGGGTGAAGTGGCATTCGGTCTCATCTTCATTGATAACTTTGGGCTTGTCTATATCAAGTGGCATAAATTATCGGCAGGGATGCTCTGAAGAAAGATCATCTAAGGTAAGTAGGGCCACAACCATCGGATTCAGCAGAGGTGGGGCATGTCATGTCATGCCCATGCTGCATTTTTGCATCCAGCTGGAGAGAGCCAAGCAGCTCTTCCTCATCGAACCCAGGCGGCCTCTCTTATATATCCCCTGGCGACCGGGGGTTTTTCTATCGGATCCAAGGCGTTTATTCTTGGCATGGCAAATTAAAAAAAGAACGGTGAGGCCTATGCCCGTCAGGCTGTAGGGTCAAAAAGAATACCTTTGTATGACGGACGGTTAAACATTGATTTTATAAATACCATTCAAGGTTAGTTTGACACAAAAAGCAGCAAAATCCACCAGTCAAATTTCAACCCCGGAGCGTGTTTGTGAAGTTGTCGAAGAAAATGTCAAGAAGAAACATGGTCATTCGTCAAGGAAATTTCCGCCAACCTCAGCACTGGGTGCCAACATCATCTTCCCCCCTGCTTTTGAGAACATCGAAGGGCCGAAATCACATATTCCTACGCAGTACTCCGTAGAGATTGCTTATTCTTCGCTTACCGCAGGGCAGCTGACCTCTGTGATTCGTAAAATGCGGGTCGAGCTTTATTGGAGAAAGCGCAGGGCTGAATATATCGGCCAGCCAGCAATGAAACTTCTTGCTAATTCTACATGCCCCAGATGGTGAGATTAGCGGTTTCTATATGTAGAATATAGCATTGATTGCAGTGAAGGAAAGGGCTTGCCTAGCCTGTATCTTGGTTCTTACGCTTCATCAAGCTAGTTACAATCAAACTACCGTTTATTCAACGAGTGTTTATTTTTGATCCTTCATATCCAATGCTGTATATACGTAGTAAGTTACGGAGTCCACGCTGTGAGAGCAGGGGAACCGAGCATAAGCGCTCTACCATCTCAAAAGCTCCCAGAAACAATGGCAACTGGATAATTATAAAATACAAAATTCTGCTCTTGGCTGTCACTACCAAAATAAATGGTCAGGTGAGCCGATGATGATTTCGTATATTTTTTCCCTCTCGGCCAACCACAGAGCTCTTACCACTAGTTAGCTCAGGAACAAGATTAAGATTTCCCTGGACCACCATTCTTCAACAAAGTTCACGTCACAGTGATGATATCGCTTATATCCCTGTTACTCCTCCTGTCTAGAAAGTCTCTGTGCGGGGCAAACGATGCTGATACATCCTCTGTCAGGTAACTACGCAGTAGTAGCGGATGAATCAATGGGGGTTCTTCGTACGGAGTACTCACGACGGGAAACAGGGATGGATACTTTCGCATTATGCGGTAAAAAACGGGAAGCAAAGGGAGCGTTGAGAATGAATAAAGTAAGTTAATGATCGGCGCGGTCGTACGCACACTCCATAACGCGGTGATATTTTATGTCCCGTGGCATTCATCGACTTTGGACGAGGTTCGGGAAAGGGAGAAGGTGCGGGAGAAAGGCTCAGATCTTGTCACCGCAAATTGAGTTTGGATCGAGGGATGGTGTTGCGCTAACTCTAACATAGCTTGGTTGTCACGGACTATTTGGGTGGGATCTTGAAATCTGAGATGGATCATGGAACTGGACCTTCAACATGTGGCTCAGGCATGTCGTGCTTCAGGTTTGCATCAGATGGAACAAGCACGTCTGAATGGGCAATATCATGGTAGTAGTCCAGATGTTGCTACTCTTGATGTCATATATTATGCACTGTATCTGATGATCCAAGAAAAGCAGGGAAATTTAATAATAAGAAGAAAAAGGATCTATCTTATGAACTTGGCTGGTATGAACGTAGAAAACGTATTAGAGTTCGCCCCTGACTTCGTGAAAAAGCGAAAACACATTTGGAACATATCCAAGTTTCACCTCTCACGTCTACAGTACCAAGGCACCACATCCAGCACAGATTTGCTCTGGCTTAGGAAGCTCGCGTAAGAGGAACCGTTTGAACCGTCATCGCCATCCCAAGGAACGTGGTGTTTTCTCTTTCTTTTCTTTTCTTTTCTTTTCTTTTCTACATGTTTTGCCCTTTTTTTTTTTTTTTTTCTTCCTTTCCTTTTTCGTAAATATCCCCCCTTTAAACCTCCGATCTTGGCGGGAGTGAAGAGCTTCCGCGCGTTGCGCTCCAAAGATTTGGCAATCCGGTAACAATGCATAAAAGCAAGTTTTCAAGCCGTGCATGGCATGTATATTTATTATCTATTTTTATTATCTACTATTTATTTATTCCTGCTCGCAGTTCCGATATTAAGGAAATGGAAATATATGGTGCTCCTGTCTGTCTCGGCTTTCCTGACTATCACCAAAAGCTGTGACCACCAGAGCGTGTGCACTATCACCATCGTCACGAGCTCGTGCTCAGCCGTCCTGATTAGAGTTAGCCAGTGAGGAACCACCACCGTTCATATGAAGGACGATGGATGCGCAAAAGCCAACGAAGCGAACGCTATCCTAGGGACTGATCGCTTGCGATCTGCAAGATGCTATCTTTCTTTTTTGGCTCTTTGCCCCTATGAAGGCCTTGCTTTTGGAGTAGTCGGGTTTTAGCACAAGTCCGGCGGGGACTGGTCTGAACTTACCTGGGTTAGTGGATGAGCTAATTCGTGGAGAGAGGAACTTCGCGAAAAAAAAATGGGGGAGGAGGGCACGCAAGCAAACTGAAAAAAAGAAATCATGAGTGGGCTTGGGAAGCTAGTTTGCGCCGATAGCAACGACTTGATTGGCTGAGATAGCTGCTTGTTTCATTTTGGCGATTTGGGTCATCGTGTGTATCAAATGTTGAATAATGGTGGTCTGGCCGTGATTTGGTGTCTGGCTTTGGGGCTGATTGACATCTGAAAGGAAACGTGTAGACAAAGGGAAAGAAAAAGGGGGTTAGTATTTAAATTTGAGTAAGAATGATACGTATTAGGCTTTTCTTGGGAGCTATGGCAGCGGGGCTCAAGGACTCACTTATTCAGGTCAGGGATGGTGCTGATATCGACGATCCATGGGCGCTTTCGGGCGGGGGCTTCCAAGGGACTGCCGTAGGGGAGAACCGATGTAACTCTCTCTCCAACGCAGGGCAGACCCAGAGAGAATACCGTGCAAGAACTACCTGCCTTTGAGACGGGGGAGAGATGGTTCTGGTGGGGGCACACGGCGGAAACTGCGCTCTGGCGGACTCCTCCCACCAATATTTCTCGCAGCCAAACATTTCCCTATTTATGCATGACAGTGCCCCTGGTGGAACCGTTCCCTTTGGAAGGCGACTAAACGCAAGCTGGAACTGGAACTATCACCGATATGTCCTAGTGGAAGTCGATGGTCGCCGAGTGGGTCAGGCACCACAAGGGGTTTGTTGCCGTTTCAGGAGCAAGAGACAGTTGCGAGAACAAACATGCAAAATTATCATTGCAGAGGTAAGACCTAGCCGGGGATCTGGCTGGAGGATGCTCCAGCCTGAAGCCTTGGGGAGGTTCTTAACTGGGGAATCGCAAATGGGAGATGGTATTGTGGTATTCTCGATACGCAGGGAGTCAGGGACAACCATCACACATCTGCGGCCATTCTTCCCTCATTCCTCATTCTCAATCTCAATCTCAATCTCAATCTCAATCCTCCTCTCCTGCTCTATCTTCGTTGAACTACATCCGTTTCACTCATATAGAGACTAATCATTGACCCAATTCAATATCTTCGTTTTAATATATAATACACATCTTGACCTATTGTCGTTGTTGTTTCTGTTAAACTATATACTCTACTATTATCGCATCTATCACCGATCTCCTCATCCTAAATACACTCCGAAATCAGATCCCCTTAAACTCACTCTTTGGATTCTCCGGCAATTGCTGTCTGGAATACCTCCTACTAATTAAATCCCCGCAAACATATCCTGGACACAGGAATTGGCTGTTAATTTTTCCCAGGAACAACATCACTATTCTTACCGAGCCGTATAACAAAGGGAGCAAAAAGCAAGGGAGATCAAAGCGTGAACCAGGAAAGGTGTAGCCGGGATTCCTCAGTCTCCTGCTGTATATGAGTTATCCAGATATCCTTTAAAATGGAGGCGGACCTGCCTACAGACGGGCTATTGCCCGTGATCAAATGTTCCAATTGCAATGCGAGTGTGGGAATCTCTGAAATGGGAGAACATATCTGCAACGGATCTTCGCAGCGATGTAAGTAGTTTGACAAGCTTTGCTCAGAAAAACGCCCCTCAGAACAGCCCTGCAAATTCGGTGCTAAACGATTGTGTAGTTACTCCTCCTCCAGACCACTATAACTATCGAAACCCGTTCGACAGTCCTCCAAATCCACCTGGCAAGTCGGGAAGATATGGGCCACCGCCAAAAATTGATCCGTTTGCAGCTAGTATGTGTTTTGCCATGCAATAAATTATCCAATAATCACTTTACATGAAGGCTCACCTTTCATCAGATCGTCCTTTTCTACACCTTGGTGTTCTCACCCCTGCCGACACCGATGACACTCCATCTCTCTCACCGTCTCCTCTCAAGCGAAGTCAAACAAGTCCACTGCCGCCGACACCAGACCCAGCCAATGAAGATGGTTCATTCACACCTTTTGTAAGATCACATACCGTGGCAGGTTCTACCGTGAGATCAAAACCTAGGACGCCGGTAGAAGACACATATAGCCCTATCACAACGAAGCCTTTCGAAACAAGTCCAGTCCGGAGTGGAGGCGACGCTGGGAGCGATAATGAAAATAGCCGCTCTTCGATTCCACAAGAACCAGTACCCTACGAAGAACGGAGACGACCAAAATCGAAGCAGAAGCACAGAAGGGAGATGTCGATAGATAGCAAGAGCATGCTTCTGATATCTGCAGCTAGCTCGCGGTATGGGGATGAGAGCCTTAACCATTATTCGCCAAGGAAGTTATCCACATCTGGGCGCAATGTGTTGGACGAAGTACCACCCTTGCCTGCTGGGCCCATCAAGAGCTTCACTCCAGGACCATACGACGCGATTCCTTCCTCGTATCGTTTTGAAAGTAAAGAGGACTTCGAATTAGATCGCCTTGCGGGAGAGAGCCTCCCTAAAGAGCAACAAAAGGCCCGCGTTTTTGGGAGCTTTGATTTCGGCCTGCCGTCACAACCGAAGATTTCCCGGAATCCTGACAGTTCCCACTTCAGAGATCCTTCCCACGCGACAACCAGCTCGTCAAGAAGCTTCAAACCTCCTGTTCCAGAGAAGGACGAAAAGCCCAATGTACCAGAAAAGGAGCATCCAACATCTCCGATCCGCGAATATCGAATTAATGAGGATTTTTCCGTCTCGAATTTTGCGCGAGATCTAGGGCTAAACCATAGCACCCATCCATCAATATCCTCGTCGATTGGAACGACACCGTCGGATATGGCAAGCGGGAGTTCCCACTCTACTGGACCCTCTGACGTGTCGAGTGGGGCGCACTCAAAGTCTGCATCTGACAATATGGCTTGGAATAATCTTTCAATTGACGTTGAGCCCAGGAGACAAGGAGATCTGGCTGTGCACGGGATGGATTCTCCAACTGATCCATCTTTCCAGAATGGGTACCTTTCATCAGCAGGGCAGAAGACTGACCTTTCACAGCCATTACCTGTGTTTCCCACGCAACATCCGATTGATAAACGTGCAGTATCACCCCCTGCACGCACTGCCACACGCACTCCAGTAGGGCGAAGACCCGGTGTCGGGGTTGCCAGCAATTATTGTTGGAAAATCAATATCATCGGCGGACGGCCGATTAACAGGTCGGTGGCACAAAGCGTGCTTTGTCTGCCACACATGCCGTTCCCCATTTCAAACAGCTGATTTTTACGTTTTGGATAACCTCCCTTATTGCGCTCAGCACTATCACGAACTAAATGGCTCACTTTGTGGCTCCTGCAATATGGGTATTGAGGGACAATACCTCGAAACTGAAGAGGTAAACGAACAATCTACGACGGGTGCTAAGAAAAAGTACCACCCAGGTTGCTTCAGATGTCAAACGTGTCAAATGGTACTGCGCGGTGACTATTTCGAATGGAATGGCCTTGCATACTGCGAGCGTGACGGCCGACATGCGGCAGCAGCAATGTATCCACCCCAACCACCCTCGGTGATAATGCCATCTCAACAAAGTGGACCAAGCGCTAGAAGGCCACTGTACCCTCCACGGGGATACGGATATGGTCCAAGGCCTGGGCCCGGTCCCGGACCAAGGTATGGACCAGGAGGTCCTGGAATGCGATATCCACCACACAAACCACCGCATCCAGGTCTCAATGTGCCTGCTCAAGGCATGTACGGTAATACGAATAATAGTCGACGATACCCTGAGCGGAGAACTACGAGGTTGATGATGATATAATGATGTCCTCCCAGACCGGCACAACCCCGATTGTCCCGGACCCACACCAGCCTAGTGTTAGATTCCAAGGCATGAAATTGTGAACTTAATGCCTTGCTAATAGAGGAGTTCTCCTTTTAGTCTAGTGGTCAAAGTCCCAATTCTACATCTACCTATATTTTTATATATAAACTAGGTTTCGACACACAGCATATGCAATTACCTCTGTTCTTTTTTTTTTTTTTTTCCCCGAAGCTTGGTGTTCTTGGATTTATGCTGTCTTATTTTATTTTTGGTGTTCTAAGTTAGCTCCATCAGAGACTCATTCTTTCAAAGGCCTGATTTTGGAGTTTAGCTGGGAAATTATTTTTATAGGGCATATGGTATCTCACCAGCCCTTTGGGATATAATGCTGGATTGTACTTTTTCCCTTTTTTGGGCCCCTATTTTATGTAACTAACTACCTTTCAATTTCGCTTCACTCTCCCACCACTCTAGGTAACCATCAGCCGTTTTACAAGTTTCTATATAACTCTTTCGCTATTTTTATTTTTACATTTAAATTTTAATTTTGTTTTATAATATACCCATGTCTCCTGGCTTTCTTGAATCCTATTCGATGTTATACTCCTCACATTGGTCTTGTTTCTAATGGATCCTTTTAACTCTTTCTCCGTGCGCTACATCTCTTGTATCATTTTCCCGGAGTCGGCGCAGTCAACGGTGTTCAACATGTATACTGCAATCCTGGTAACCTCTGGCTCGACTTCTGAAATCTCCACCAGGCTGATTTAGAGTGATTTATTACGGGTAATTATTTGCCTTATGGCATTCTGTTATCTATCTAGTGGCGAGCTAATATATGTGTGTGGGTCACGTGGGAGAGGGCTTGTGTAGTCCACTAGCTCCAACACATTCATTTACCACGTGACGTGGGTCGCCAAGGTGATTCCGTTTACTCAAAAGCTATTTAAGTTCATCTTAGCTTCAATAAATAAGGACCTGTGGCGCAACGGTAGCGCGTCTGACTCCAGATCAGAAGGTTATGTGTTCAAATCACATCGGGTTCATCAAGTCCCAGTCGTCCCTTTTTATTTTTCAGTAGTTCCTGATTCGACACAATTTCAACCTCGAGAAAGATTGTATTTTACATATACATTTTTTTTTGTTCCTCCCTGAATTTTCTGTTTTATTTCTTGTTGCCTTCCCGAATATCAATGTGATTTTCTCTTTCTTCTGGTTGTCAAATGCTCATTCCGCTTGATACACTGTAAGCAGATTGGACTCTCAAAATGTCCGCTAGTTATTCGTTCACCCTTGAAAGTAATAATGTATGTTATATGCATCCTTAAAAGCCTCATATTCACGCAAGTTCTTAAAGGCAGCCACTGTGTAAGCGTCGCTACACGACTGACTCTTCCAAGCAAGTCTGACTCCTGATCCAAATTTTTGTAGAATGAATTCTACACAGGCTTGATGGAAATACGAAGATAAATAAGCGGGCCATATATGCTTCACGACAGAGAACAAATCAAA